ACTAAGCCTTTTATGTACACACTTCATTAGGTCTCCACACCCCTGCAAGGTGGCATTAAACACTCATACAACCATGAAACCAGTGACTATAAAACAGTCTCAAGCTTTCCTCTCCAGCATGAGGTAGCAAAATCAGCAAGGATTTTCAATGACAAAAGCCAAAATCATATATTTTTGGGAAAGAAAGCAAATGGAACACTGAAGAACAATAAACCAAAAGAGCAGATGGAATGGAAACTTATTGAAGAAAGCAATGATTGATTCAATTAAAACAGCTAATGTCTCTGATATAATTGAACCATAAATCCAAATTTTTGAAACACTGGGTTGTGAAATTACTGTCTCATTTAATATTGGAATTCCTATTTTGACCAATTTGATATGCATCACTGGTGTGAGGTTAGATATTTAGGTAAATAACAATATTCCTATTTTTTAAGTTAACAGGAAACATAACACAGGACTCCAGATTTAGGGAGAGAATGCAAACAACTACTATCATACTCCATCCAGTAAGTACACGTGTCCCTGCATCACCAAAGCAATGAGAATTTGCACAAAGAAAACACAGTTCTCCAATTGTGACAAATACGAGACCATGAGCCATGAATTATGAGAATAAGCAACTGTTTAAATGCCATGGGCAAATTTTTTTTTATCATCTGGAAAACATCACTGATATTCTAGGTAAGAAAAAGAATTGTTTTACTAACAAATCCAACTGACACAGGGGTTTTTCCAAGTGAGAAGGTGATTCCATAAAGTGCAGTAAAATGAGTAAAGATGATCTGTACAATGACGGAGATGGTCTTAGACTGACCAGCATCACGATTCCTGGTTTAACACTTGCTCTCTGCTCATCACCTCTGACACAAGAACTCATCAAATGATTTTTTTTCCTTTAGGGAAAAAAAAGATAAATAAAATCTGACTACAAGATGTGGTATGTAAAGAAGTAATGAAGTTGCCTAACCTTATAATGCAGCCAGTGTAATGTAGCACTTATTCAGGCACTAGAATTTTTTAATTCATGATTTCTTTTATACCCTATTTCTATCCTAAAGGAGACACTTAATGTTTTCTACTTTATTCAACATATCTTGTGAGGGTTGTGATATACACTGGTATGGCAGTTTTCAGACATTTAAAATCGCCTCTGTGGTTGTGGTCAGGAAAGACAAGGATCCCTTACAGCTGCGACGGAGAAGGAATCCCCAGAGTCAGCCTCCGAGCAGCTTCCAAACAGCATTTGCTTGCACTTGGCACAGGACACCATCAGCAAGTGTAACTCTGGCAAGGAGTTTTCCCCGGGGACCTGGGAGGTGCTCTAACATTGTGAAGCCACTTGTTTCCCAGTTAGGTAAGGTTTGGAAAAATAGTTTATTAGAAGTGACTCCCTTTGTATGTGCCTTTTGTCCTGAGAGGTCACTAATTAGCATAGAATATAAATACCCCATAATATAAGAATTTAGGTACCCCATCTTTCCATCTACCTGTCTATTTGTTTATCATATTTATAGATAGGTTACATTTTCTACGACGTTCACTTCCAGGCACCAAAAAAGAAAGGTTACAAAATATTTATTATAAACAGGGGGGACAGGGTCTAAGGGTTAAAAACCACTACTGCTAACAATAAAAACAATGTAATAATTTTAATCTCAGTT